CGTCTATCCCCTTCCTCTTCGTCTGTGTATGGTATGGGCTGGCGCTGTCTTCCTGTATGAAGCGCCAGACCCATTCACACCATGTAACGATGATGATGATGTATGTTCAGGGCTGCATTACAACATTGATTGCTCGGATCACTGGTATCTAAGTCTTCCGCTGTGTTATCTTGTACTTTGTATTGAAAGGTCGGTTCTTGTTCTGGTCTGCACATTACAGTATGCAACAGCTGCTGTTTACATACGTGGAAAGTGTGAATAAGACGAGTCTGATTGCACCGATTCCAATACCATGAACCAAATGATGCCAGCCATTGACAAGTGGTATATGAAGAACGAGCTGAAGGAGACTGGCCCTAACATTGTGCCTTACTATGAAAGAGCTAGGAGAGGAGTCAATATCGCAGATAGGTAGAAAGATTGGGCTCTTCTCAGCCGAAAGGAGGAAAGGATTTCACACTACAGTCAGTGTCCTAGCTCCCGGTCACGAAGTCCCAGTTGATCCCCGTCCCAAAGAAGTGACGGTTCGGCAGGCCCAGGGGCTGAAATGCCAATTCAGAGTCCCACAGGTCCGGTAGGATCCAGTAGCCCAAGAGTTGTAGGTCATTGGAGGTCTGGAGGCCCGGCATCTGACAAAGAAAGTCATAAGTCCCAAAGTCCAATTTTGCAGCAGCATCGTGGGAAAGTCCGGTAAGTTCCAGAACTGGCAAAGTGTCGCCGATAGGCTGCGCGGGGCGGCTACTTCTCCACAGTCTACTTTTTCCCTGCGCTCAGGCTGTGGCCAGGTAAGCCTTGTTAAGTTCTTACAGGCCCCAAATATGCAGGCTAGGGTTTAGGGTTTAGGGGACAGTCAGTTTTCAGAGTAATAGGCCAGGGTGTAGGGTTTATGAGGGAGAGAGGGTCCCCATATCCGGGGTGGTGCTTCCAGAGAGGGGGAGGGCACAGGAAACATGAAGTCAGTAGCAGCGAGCTAACTTGGGCAGAGGTGAGGGGAGGTATATCCTTCCGGACGTAAGTAATTAATGCTGCCCACTTGGGTCTCTCTTCCATAAAGGGGAGAAGCGTGGAGTGTGTTGTATACTGTATTTTGACTTGCCGCCGTTGCTGGTGGAAAAGGAACTGGAATGCAGCTCGCCAGAATGGATATGGAGTCGGAGCCATAAGGCTCTCTTTTTCTTTTTAAGTTTTACAAGTGGACCCGCCGCAGCCACGCTTCAGCAGAGGAGAGGGACGAAGAGGGGGCGGGGCTGTCGTTGTTACACTGCCGGTTTTTTTAATGATTTTTTTTCTTTTGGTCGTCATATTCGCTATACACTCAAAAACAACATGACTGTGGCAGATTGTTTCCGAGTGATCAGGAGGTTGTGCGTGTGTGTGTGTGTGAGAGAGAAAGAGTGTCTCTCTCTCTCTCTCTCTCTCTCTCTCTCTCTCTCTCTCTCTCTCTCTCTCTCTCTCTCTCTCTCTCTCTCTCTCTCTCTCATCCACTTGTGTACATAAAAGATATACACACATGTTTGTTATTGCAACATGACAATGCTACATAGGAAAGAGCATGCAAGTTTTCTTTTTTCTTTTCTGCATCTGCTGGTAGAGAAGGCGATATACATATGGTAAAACGTCCGATCTACTGGTAGATGAGACCAGATACGTTCTGTATCTACTCGTAAATGACGCCAGATACGTCCGGGCGGAAGGAAGATCTACTGGTAGATGAGACCAGATACGTTCTGTATCTACTCGTAAATGACGCCAGATACGTCCGGGCAGAAGGAAGGAAGGAAGGAAGGAAGGAAGGAAGGAAGGAAGGGAGGGACATGAATATTATTTACCATACTTGCAACCTCACGAACCGCACCCGCACAGACCGGATCCGTGCTGAGATCCGTACGGAGGGTGCTCGATCTCCGCACATTCCGCACCCGCACAGACCGAATCCGTGCGGAGATCCGTGCGGGGGG